GTAATCTTCTGAGAAAGGAATCCTGCTAAGTGTTAGAAGATGCATTTAAATAAATTGTCTTACCAGAGTCAGCATCAGCAGTCGCGCTTAAAGCAAATAGTTCTTTTATTTAAAGAACTTCTTCATATAATTTTTAGCTCAGCACATCAAAATGCTTCTGTCAAAACATTATTTGAAACATTCACATACGTTCATCAGAGTATAAATTATCTAAAATATAATTTATTGTTATCATCAAAACTCTGAGATAGATCAGAACTAATCTTATTCTAACAAGAGTTCCCTTGATATATCTCAGAATTCTGACAGCAGCTTGGAAATGAGACTACTTTAGATTACTCGTGAATCTGCTAATCAATCCAATTGCATAACAAATGTCAGGTCTAGTATTGCATAAATACCTTAGAGAACCAACCAACTGTTTAAAGGTTGTAGTATCAACAAAATCACCATCAGAGTCAGAATCCAATTTTTGATTGGTTTCTGATGGTGTCACAGCAACTTTACAATTCTGCAGCTTAAATCTCTTCAGAAGTTCAAGTTCGTACTTCAACTGATGCAGAATGATACCCTTCTTTGAGTACAAAATCTTCATCCCTAGAAAATGTCATATTTCCTAGATCTGTCATTTCGAACTCATTCATCAGAACTTCTTTGAACTTCTTTATATCTTCTGGGCAACTTCCTGTTAGCAAAATGTCATCAACATAGAGACACACCAGAATCATATTGTTATCAGAGTGTTGCACATAAACACCATATTCCATCTCACATTTCTAAAACTTCTGCTTCTTGAAAAACGAATCAATTTTCAGATTCCAAGCTCTGGGCGCTTGCTTTAGTCCATACAAAGCTTTATTCAACTTGTATACCATCCCTTCCTGATTCTTTTTCACAAATCCAGGAGGTTGTGACACGTAAACTTCTTCCTGTAATAGACCGTTCAGAAATGCAGACTTCACATCCAGATGCATCAAAGGCCAATTTCTATTTGCAACTAAAGCAATCACCAGTCTGATTGTTTCGTTCCTAGCTACAGGCGCAAACACCTCAAAGTAATCTAGCCCAGGTTTCTGAAGAAAAACTCTAGCTACTAGTCTAGCTTTGTGCTTGCAAATTGAACCATCTGGCTTAAGCTTCAACTTAAAAACCCATCTGACACTGATGGCTTTTTTATTATCTGGAAGCTTAGTCAATTTTCATGTTTTGTTCCTTTCTATTGCCTCAAGTTCTTCTTTCATGGCATTTAGCCATTCTTTATTCTTTAGAGCTTCTTAAATGCCCACTGATTCAGAATCTACTAACATGACACACTGAACGACTTCTCCTTCAGAATCAACTTCATTATCCCGCAACATGTCGAAATTTGTAAACCTTCTTGTTTTTTGTCTGATTCTTTGTGGTCTTTGAGCTTGTTCTGAAATTGCACCAAAACTACTACCTTCAGAATTACCACCTTCAGGGTTTTCCCTTCCAGAACTATGATCATCACAAGATTCTGGATCATCATCGACATCTAGATCGAAATCAGATCCACTGTCAGAATCTCCTTCTGACTCATCTTCATAATCAAATTCATCTTCTGATTCTGACTTATCTTCAGAGCTTTCTAAAAGATCTTCAGAAGCTAACTCTGGTGTTGGAACTACACTAGAATCTGATTGAGACTTGTTCCAATCCCATGCTTCAGACTCTTTCACCACAACGTCTCTGCTGACTTCAACTTTATTAGTTTCTGGACAATAAATCTTATACGCACTTGTACTGTGATACCCCACCAGCAACATTACTTTGCTTCTATCATCCAGTTTTTGTCTTCTAACTTCTAGAACGTGTTTGTAACAGACATAGCCAAACACCTTCAGATGACTGACACTCTGCTTATCTCCAGTCCATCTTTCTAAAGGAACAACTTCCTTCAGCTTCTTCGTTGGACACCTGTTCAGAATATATGCTGATGTGGCAACAACTTCTCCCCATAACACGTGAGGTAGCTTTTTTTATTTCAGCATGCTTCTGGTCATATCAAGCAAAGTTTTGTTTCTTCTTTCAGCAAGACCATTGTGTTGAGGAGTATATGAAGCAGTAACCTCATGTTCTATTCCATTCTCCTCACAACTTCTGGAACTGTGTAAAGTTATACTCACCTCCACCATCCCTTCTCAGAATCTTCAACTTCTGACCACTCTGCTTCTCAGCCTTCACTTTAAACTTATGAAACTCAGTAAACACTTCATGCTTGAACTTGATGAGTGTTATCCATGTCATTCTTGTGAACTCGTCCACAAAAGACACAAAATATTTGTTTCCTCCAAGTGAAGGTACTGAAAATGGTCCACACACATCAGAATGTACTACTCCTAAAGCATGCTTCGCTCCGGGGGCTACTTCTGATGCAAATGGCAATCTGGATTGCTTGCCTTTCATGCATATCTCACATGACTTCTCAGGCTTCACAATCTTCGAAATACCATGTACAAGCTTCTTATAACATAGATGCCCTAAGCTTCTATAGTTCAAATGCCCCAACCTCTTATGCCATAGCTTACTGTCACCTTCAGCGCCTTCTACACTAAGACACGTTGCTTCAGCTATTTTTACATTCACCTTGAATATTCTGTTGCTTCCTTGTTCAGACTTCATAATCAACTTCTAATTGGAATCATACAACGTCAAGATATTGTTTTTCATAACAACTGAGAAACCTTTCTCAATCAGCTGACCCACGCTCATCAAATTGCTTCTAATACCAGAAACATACCAAACGTCTTTGATCAGAATGTTTTTCCCATTCTTCACTCTAACTCTGACATCTCCCATACCTTCTGCATTAAGATACTTATTGTCAGCACATCTGATCTCTGTTCTTCTTCTGGATTCAAAGTCTTTCAGCCATTGTTTGTTTCCAGTTAAGTGATTTGAACAGCCAGTGTCTATATACCACCAATCTTCTGAGCATTTTCCATCAGAATCATAAGTCATTAGTAGCACAGGTTCATCATCAGAGTTTCCCTTAGCCATATACGCTTCTTCTGATTTCCTTTCCTTGTTTGACCTACAATCTCTGGCAAAATGGTCAAATTGTTTACAAGAGTAACATTGAACCTTCTTTTTGTCATACCTCTCCTTTCCTTTATGATATCTCTTATCATCAGAAGTTGAGGTTTCTGACTTCTGGAATCTATCACCACGTTTATTCTACTTCTGGTCTTTCTTGACAAAGGAAGCCTTTAGAGCTTGCTCAGCTTCCCTCTCAGCAGTTCTCTCAGTCAGATGTAACTCATGTGCTTCTAAACTGCTTTGCATTCTTCTATTCTCATGGTTTCCAGGTCTTTAGAATGTTCAATAGAAACAACAATGTAATCAAACTAAGGAGTAAGCAACCTCAGAATCTTCTCTATGATTACCTGTTCAGACAGAGTTTCTCCACACGCCTTCATCTTGTTAGTGATAAGGATCACTCTGGAGATATATTCAGAAACTTTCTCACTGTTCTTCATGTTCAAGTTCTCATATTTCTTTCACAGGGATTGAAGCTTCACCTTCTTTACTGATGCGTCACCACCATAACATATCATCAGTAAATCCCACGTCCCTTTTGACGTTGTCGAATCAACAATCTTCTCGAACACACTTTCATCCACACACTGATGGATATAGAACATAGCTTTCTGGTCCCTCTTCCTCATAACCTTCTCAGCAGTTTTCTGTTCTTCAGTTGCATCTGCTGCAGCTGGTACATAACCATCTGTAACCAGATCCAGAACATCTTGCGCATCAAACAGCACACGCATTTGTATCATCTATTTGTTCCAATTTTTGCCATTAAAAAGTGAGAGTTTGGTGTTCAAACTACTACCTCCACTCATCTTAAATCTTGCATAGATTTTCAGACCTTCAAACACACTATTTTCCAACCCACAGAATCAGATTATGTTCAGATTTTTGTTTAAGATTTCAACAAAAAAATCAATGAACCAAAATCAAACACACAGCTCACAATCACTCGTGTTTCCCAGGAAAAAAACAGAACCAAGTGCTATAGATACCAATTTGTTGATGCAAGATAATAAAGTGGGATAAGAAGAATGAACAAAGAATAATAACAAGAAGACTACTATTGTATATCAAAATAGAAGGAGATAAAAGTAGGGTACAATATTGATAGCCTAGGATAGCATATTTATACTAAATATTGAAAAATGACAAAATGCCCTTATTAAAGGATAAGCAGTGGAAATTATAGAAATTAACTAAATTATCTTTCCAATAAGTTGGTATATGTCTTTGAGGTTTTTTTGCTGGACCCTCGAGGTCGCGGTTGTAAACATTGTTTTTTTTTGTTATATATAATCTTTTATTTTTAAAGAGATAAATAATTTAAAATTTATTTTATAAAATTAATATATAATTATCTCATTAATCATTTCACAATTGTATTAATTATAAAAATATATATTATTAATTAATTATTTTACTTATAATTTATTAACCACTTTTACTATTTTCTTAATTAATAAAATACATATTATTAATCATATTCTGACACTAAATTAAAAATGTATTAATTAATTTTTATATTCTATTAATCAACTTTATTTAACTATTAAATAATTTTTATGTTTGAGATATGGTTAACTAAATTATGAAATGTATTAACTAATTTTATACATAATATTAACGAAAGTCTGAATTGTATATATAAAAAAATTTATGTCAGAATATAGATTAACCAAACTTTAAATGATAAATTTTAATATTTTATTAATCAAAATAATTTTATAGAAAAATATATTAAAAAGTTAAAATAATATAAGAAACACTATTAACGTATTTATAAAGAGTATACGCTCTCCGTTTTAGAGAAAAAAAAATAAAACTATACTTATTAAGAAAAGTAAAAACATATCGATTAAATTTATAATTTTTTTGCATGTAGCGTGGGACTCGCGTCCCCTTTAAAATCTCCAATCTTACCTATCACAAGACCCAAAAAAAAAATGGAAGAGTTGTTTCCCCCTTTAAAAGCAACGATGATGTTGATTGTGACTATTGTACTTGCTGTGATTCCATGGTATCTTCTTAACAAGTTGTGGTTTAAGCCAAAGAGGTTTGAGAAACTTCTGATATCTCAAGGTCTTCAAGGTGATCCATATAAGTTCTCACTATTTGACAAGTCCAAACAAAATCATATGATGAAGTTGCAACATGAAGCTCAACATAAATCCATTGGTATTTTCAAACAACCTGCTGCACCTTCTATCTTCACACCTGTTCATCAAACTGTTGACAAATATGGTATACATACTACTCTTCCTTTCTCTTTTGTAATTCTTTTTCATTCTTTTTTTTTACCAATAGTTGATAAGTAAAGAATATGCAGGAAAGAATTCATTTTTATGGGAAGGTACAACACCAAAGGTTGTCATCACAGATCCTGAGCAAATTAAGCAAGTCTTCAACATGATTGAGGACTTCCCCAAACCAAAGTTAACTTCACTTGCCAAGTATTTGACCAATGGTATTGTACAATATGAGGGTGAGAAATGGGCCAAACATCGAAAAATCATCAATCCTGCTTTCCACACTGAAAAATTAAAAGTAAGACTATTTTATTTTTTTGAAAAATTTAGGCTTTGTCTCTTTTCAATAATTTGAAAATGGAATTTCTTGCTGTAATCATATGATTTATTTACTGCATACTATAGGGTATGCTGCCTGCATTTTCTCACAGTTGCGAAGAAATGATAAGAAAATGGAAGGAATTGTTGTCATCATCAGATGGAACATGTGAGATTGATGTTTGGCCTTTCCTTCTAAATTTGACGCGTGATGTAATTTCTAGAACAGCATTCGGGAGCAGCTATGCAGAAGGAACAAAAATATTTCAACTTTTGAAAAGCCAGGGATTTCTTGTGATGACAGAACGATACGCAAACATTCCGTTATGGCAGTAAGACTTGAACCTGATTTTGGCACATTTGATAATCTCGGTTTTGTAAGGTTGAGTTAGAGAGGGAAACAAAAAACATAATATAATGAACCATGTTGTTGCACTTATTATAATATTAATCAAGTGCATTTTCTAGGCTTCTACCAACAACTTCCAAGAGGAGGATGAAGGAAATGAATAGAGATATATGTGATTCACTTGCGGGGGTAATTAAAAAACGAGAAAAAGCATTGAAGAATGGCGAAACTGCTATTGATGATTTATTAGGCATACTTTTGCAATCAAATCATGCTGAAAATGAAGAACATGGAAACGGTAAGAGCATTGGAATGACCGGCCAAGAAGTGATGGATGAATGCAAAAATTTTTACAATGCAGGACAAGAGACAAGTTCGGTTTTATTGGTTTGGACAATGGTGTTATTAGGAAGGTATCCTGAATGGCAAGCGCGTGCAAGAGAAGAAGTTTTGCAAGTTTTTGGAAACCAAAATCCAAACATTGGAGGGTTAAATCAACTTAAAACTGTATGTATCACTTCATCACAGAATGATTATAAATCTCTTAATACATAATATTTGTTAAACTAACTCATAGTTTATTGTTTCCTAAGGTAACCATGATTTTGTACGAGGTACTAAGGTTATATCCGCCTGTAATTTACTTCAACCGATCTCTTGGAAAGGATTTGAAACTTGGAAACCTTTTCCTATCTAAAGGAACAAATATTTCCTTACCAATACTTCTGATTCACCAAGATCATGATATATGGGGTCATGATGCAAAAGAGTTCAAACCAGAAAGGTTTGCTGAAGGAATTGCAAAGGTAACAAAAGGTCAAGTTTGCTATTTCCCTTTTGGATGGGGTCCTAGAATTTGTATCGGCCAAAACTTTGCCTTATTAGAAGCAAAGATAGTGATATCAATGATATTGCAGAATTTTTCATTTCAGCTTTCTCCTACTTATGTGCATGCTCCTACAACTGTGCTTACTTTGCAGCCAGAATTTGGGGCAACCATTATTTTACATAAATTGTAATGTCAATTTTGTGTGGCATAAGGACTTTATTTAGTTCCCACTTGTGTTCGTTCATATCAAACAATTTAATCAATGATTTGATTTGCGACATTCTTTTCACTTATGCTTCAATTTCCAATTTCAATTTTAATTTCCACTTTTTCTTGTTTCATTTTCTCTAAGACTAATGTAATTTTGAATCTTGAAATCTTGTAGAATTAGGTTCTTAAATTTATGTAATTTCAATCAATTTTTTATTCTCGAGTAATTATTGCCTTCAACATTTTTTTGATTAAGAAGGACCTTTAAATTACTTATATTATTGTACTATTCAGGAATCGGTTCAATGATTTGACAAAGAAACTGCTGTAATGATAATGGCTTGATATCATTTTTTGAAAATGGAGATAGAGGCAGTACTATGTGATAAGTTTTGGAGAAAAAGGAATATGTCCTCAAAATATAAAATAATTGTCGATCAATTACAAATATGTTAAATATTAAGTTATACTCAAACTTTTAAATAAATTGTGTACAACTATTTTATATTATCAGTTATAATCATTATATTTTAAACACAAAGAAAATAGAATATGCACCAATACGTAAAATAATTGTACACTTTCAACTGATCAATACTATGTATCCAGTCACATCAGACCGATCAATTCAACTGTGAATCGGAGAGAAAATAGAATATGTACGAATACGTAAAATGATTTTACACTTTTAACTTTTAATCGATCAATATTATGTATTCAGCCACACCAGACTGACGAATTTAACTGTGAACCGGTATTCAGTCACACCAGACTGACCAATTCAACTGTAAACCGAAGGCCAGGCCAGTCCAAATGACTATGAAGACAGCTCTGTCAATAAACCAAAGACATACCAAAAAACCGGACAACACCAAGAAAAAACGAACAAACTGATGTTTGTGAGAAATTAAAAATATTAAATTTTTTGATTGCCTTATTATATAATAAATAATAAATAGTTATAGAATGATAACTATATTATTATTATACTATAATTATAAATTATAAATTATTATAAATAATAATTTATAAATATTATAGTTATAAATTATAATTTATAATTTATGACTTATAATTTATAATAATCATTATAACTCATTCTTTGAACAAAGTTATTGTATTTGTATAGGTATTTCACCTTTACAACCAGCTAATGATATTGAAGTACATGCAATGCTAGTTTTATAGGTGAAATTTTTCTCATTTTTGAGACGTTTCCGCTATTTTTGCAAAATACTTTTAAGATTATTTATTTATAATGACAAAATTATTGGACACTTATTTTTTTTCATTTTTTATAGTCTACGTCACCTTCTCTCTCTTCCACCTAATAATTCAACACTCATTCAACTTTTATTCATTACAATGATTTTATTTAATAAAATCCAACATCTTACTTCATCACTTTTATTTTTTATTTTTATTTTCTTTTTTATATTTTTATTTTTTTAGCATATATTAATAATAATTATCAATTGAAGTTAAATTAAAATAATTAAGAGTTAAATAATTTATTTTAATTTTTTTAATTTAAAAACTTTTTTTAATTTTTTTCTCTAATTTTCTATTCGTAATTACAAAAAACTTAAAATGCAATACAATACACACAACACACTTAAAATGAAACACACATAACTTAATTAGTACAATAGACTCAACTCACAAACAATCTATTTAATCACGAAACATTTCAAACTTTATCCATATATATTTGACTAGATCTGCTTGCAATTTGTGATGTACATTTGAATCACGCATCACAGATCTAGCATGCATATGATTTGCAAATGCATGTAGCACCTCGGTCGAGAATGACTCCGGTGTACCAGACCCATTTGCCTCAAATTGATTATAATTTGTCCAATGTTGAGAATATGTATCTCGTTCATCCTCAACAATCATATTATGCAATATGATACATGACCTCATGATGAGAGTCAAATCAGCTATGTCTCACAATGGATTTAGTCGATTTAGAGAAAAAAAATAGATTTTTTCTTTGTCCAAATCAAATGAATCAAGGCTCTATTTGTAGACAAAAAAAATGATGAATTTTGGTGAAAATAAAAATAAATAAAAAATTGATTTTCTATAAAATAATTGACTCCAAATAATTTAGGTGAGATAAAAATATAAACAATCACAACAATCAATTATATTTTATAAAATATTATAAATGACCCCACTTATTTCTCATTCAACACGTTTAATGTTTTCAATACAAATTAATTCATGTCACATTCAACACTTTATTCAACAATCTATTTGAACAATTCAACTATTGAAAAATTTATTCAACACCCCCATTACAAGTAGTCTAAGTAAAGAATCTATTTTCCAACGCTCGATGTAAATTATTATATTACATAATTTCTAATATAAAATTATTTAAAGATTATATTTTATATTTTGTAGGTATTTTTTATTTTTGATCACATTATATAAAAACAATATGTATTTAGTTAATATCGGTAGAACTTCGGCACGACTCCGATTAGATTTTTAAACTTTAAACAAGTAAGCACACTGACTCACTATCCGATCTAGTTTTGATTATCTTGTAAATTTTTATTGAATATCTGTATAAAACTATTTTATAAATCATTATATTCCTAAATCATAACATTTAAATCACATCATTGATCTTTAGAATTGGTCACTTATGTTAGTAGGACTCTTAAAACTGCTTTAAAACACTTTTAAAATCGCTTTAAAACACTCTTATACAAGACTTTTTCACTGCCGAGTAAACTCTAAGTATCATACAATATTATAGATTTATTAAGGTCTCTGAATCTCTCTATCCTTTTAGGAGAAACACACGCATGTTATATATATATATATATATATATATATATATATATATATATATATATATATATATATATATATATATATATATATATATATATATGATTTGTTTTTGATCTTAATGTAAGAACTTAACATGTCCTCTCAATGCTATCTCACCTACCATCTTTGTGCACACTTACCTAAAATAAAGTTAATGAAATTATCACTCTAATGCCAGATAATTATCTTTTAATTAGTTTGTTTTCTCCTGTTTCAATGCAGTGGGTGTTGTAACTTTTGTTTTATGCAGTGATATTGGAACTATTGATCAAAGTGGAACTGCAAAGTTTTTGAAGGCTCTGTCTTACCTCTTTTTGATTCAATTGACATTATTCTTTTTTTCCTATTATGTATTTTGTATATATGATAAACTAGTTGGGTCTATTTGTCTTCTTTTTTTATTGCGTTAAAGTGTTTATGTCTTTTATAAAGTTAGTCATTGGTAAGTACATGTTTCGTGAATAATAAGTATTGTCTTGGATTTAGAGAAAAATGAATACTTCTTCCGTCCCGTAACTGATTCAATCCATCGTTTTATACCTATTAAATTAAAGTCTAACTAATAAAAAAAAAGTAAAAATAAGAAAGAAAATAATATTTTTACTATAGTATATTTAATCATGTATTGAAAATAACGAAAGTTTAATTAATTAAAGGAAAAAAAATTAGAAAAAAAATATATTGAAAATTAAAATGAGTCATTCATTTTATGACATTATTTTATTTCAAATGTGTCACTCATTATAGGACGGAAGAAGTACTACTTTATCTAGCATGTGATGCTTCACACAACAAAGACTATATACATTTAGACATCAATTACTGACATGTAAAATCTGATATTAAAAGGCTAAGAATATGTAAAAGACTATCAAGAAGATGGTGTGTGATCTGATTGTGGATAGTGAAATATGTAGAATTTGTTGTCACTGAAATTGGTAGATTATTTGAAGTTATCCACATAATCTCATGAGAATCCATACACCCTCGATTGGGTAAGCAAAGACTCCCAAGTTCGAGTAACACTAGCCTGCAAAGTTTATATCTCCATTGAAAAGCATTACAGAGAATATGTACTCTGTGATGTTCTTGATATGAATGTTTGTCATATTTTACTAGGTAGGCCTTGCAGTTTGATAATGATATCACTTTTTGAGAACGAGATAACGTGATGATGTTTACATAGGACACACATAAAATTGATATGGCTCATGTTTTGCACTTTGATATGAATCTAGAAGAAAAGAAGTCTAGTTTCTTGGTAATGATGCAGAGTGAAAAAGAGCTTGATGAGGCTGATAAATAAACTGAGTTTTTTATCCAGTGGTGATTAAAGGGCTTATGAGTGTTGTAAACGAGGAAACAATAACTCTAGAAGAAGTGCTAGGGATCCTAAAGGATTTCAAGGAGTTGTCGTGGATGAACTACCAAACGATTTGTCTCCTATGTGAGATGAACGCAAGAAAGTTAAAATTTTAAATGTGGAAGACGATGTTATGATGTTCATGCGTAAGAAGAGGTTTCTAGTTGGTACTTACAACAAGCTGCAACAACACAAGTATGGCCCGTTCAAAGTGACCCGAAAGATCAATGATAATGCTAATATGGTAGCTCTCTCAGATTTCATGAATATATCGAATACATTTAAAGTTGCTCACATTCATGAGTATCAAGCAGATACGGTTCTTTATCAAGAAGAGAACTTGGGGTCAAGTTCTTCAGAGGTGGAGGAGACTGATGTAACAAGAAAGGTTGCACGTATCAAAGAAGAAGTCGCGCGTTGGAAAGTTTCGACAGGAATTGTGCAGATTTGGCGTCTGATATCAGAATGATTAATATTAAACCTTTATGGATATGAAATCGGTTCACGAGTTCAACTCAATGTTTTGCAGTGATACATGGGCCTTTTAAGTAACCCTAGTTTGTTTTAAACTTGAATACAACATTGTAATATTTTTCGTAATTTTCTATTTTTTTTCGATTTTTTTTAAAAGCCCATTAGGATTTCTTTTTCGATTTTATATTTTTTTTAGATTAAAAGTCCATTAGGATTTTTTATGTATTTAAACACTTTAGGTGTGACCTTCAAGGTTATCTTTGATATATAAAATTCAGTAGTTTCTCTAT